CCCCTGTAGTAGCCCACTACTTGCTCACTCTATCCCAGATGATGAGAAGTTGTTATGATAACAGTAAGTCAGAATTAGTACAAATACCTTATCTTCACTGTATGCACGTAATATATAGGGCATTCCGGACCAATTTTTCTGATTTTTCTTTAATATTCAGTCACTCAATTCTCTATCTTTATTTGAGCTCAATTAGCTACCATCCATGATTGGAATTTGCCTTTAACACACTATTCGCTATCATTGTTAAGGTCTATAACGCGTACGAAGCGTGTTCTGGAATGTATTTTCAAAGATATAATTATCTCCAGCTTCTCATGCCATGCGTTTGCTTGCGTGTGGCGCTGTCTGCAACATAAGCAATTTCGCGAAATGGTTCTTATCAACATTGCAGATGGACGAGATATCGAGCGGAAAGAAACACTGCAAGAAGTTGCTGGGATGCTATCGATCAAAAACAGATAATTTGATTCCAAGCGCAGTACGACGAGCTGAAGAAAGCTGGGTGATAAGCAAACAGAAGCGTGCTGATACATAACAGACAGATGATCCTGAATGTCCTAGTATAATTATGACATGGAGATTGAATTCTCATATTTATTGAACTGTATGAACTGATTTTACTGCATCGGCTGTATTACTGCCATGAATTCCACTCCTAATGTTAGTGATTTGTCCTTGTTTGCGAAAGCAAGCAGGCTAGTGGGACACGGCACATTATGTGCTCATGAAATGGGTTTCGACGGCTGTGAACAATTTTTCCACCTCCATCCTACATACCACCTCTCCCCCCTCCTCTCCTCAAGCCGTAATTCAGGGAAGGTAAACTAGTTCTCTTAATGGTGGAGTAGTCATGACAGTTTTTCGATGTAAACTGGATTTTCAAGAGAGACAGATAAGCATCGGTTGTGCTGAAAAGTACTTTTTTTGGAGGTGAGAAGTCTAGGGGAAGAATACTTTGGTAACAATATTATCATGTGGGAGTATTTTTCTGAGTCAAGTATTCGATGCATTGCTAGGTCAGCTGCTCCGTAGTAGCCGGCTTCTGAATTGTGGTTGGAGTAGATCGGAGCATTACCAATGGGCTGCATTGTGCCAAAAAGTTTTTTTATATAAGGAAATCACAGACTTATCCAAATTGTATCTTCTCAATAAAGGATCATGACTAGTGTTAATCTCGGCCATTGTTTGTATCATTTAAATGACTTATATATAAAGACAGTCTCACTTTTCTATCCTTCCACTTAGGTGTATTTATAACGCCATTTCAAAGCGGCATTTGTGCCATAGTATTTCTTTTACTTTATATTGAATCGGTGAATCTCATTTTATTTGTGAAAATCGAATGAAGATTAACCTTACTTGTTCTTCACAGTTTATGAATACATCTGGATCTAGTATACCCTGAGGCTCGGCTAGGCTGCGTAAACCGTGTAGAATAATGAAGAACAGGTCTTAGAAGGCCTAGATACGGGCTCAACTCCATGTCCTCATTGCACCTTAAAGGCACATTCCGCGATAAAATAAGGCTATGACCTCTCAAATGTGTCGGACGATCCGGAAGGCGATTTTTGAGGCTGCGCTACTTTCAAAATGTGAAAAACGGCAAGAACTCCGCTAGAAGCTGACTAATTAGGCCCATGGACACCCCTTAGGCCCATGCCGACCCTCACCGGCTGCTAGCTACTAGCTAGTAGCCACTATGTTATCTTTCTCTATAACATTTCGGACTGCTTTTTCTGCTGCTTTTCTCCGCTAATCAGATACTTAGCACTTTTTTGTGCCTATTTGAGTTCCGTTTCCCGCAATTTGCGGTCGCGAACTGTGCCTTTAACTTGACACCTCCGTGACAGTATTTAAAAACGGGATGGTGTTAATAACAGCAACTATCAGAGAAATATTGATAAGTAAAGAATCTCTTGTACACGATTCTATGCCACTGTCACATTGTAGCAATTCATCTATACAGGGGGGCCAAAAAAAGTCACTTTTCTTCATTGACTTTCGAGGCGCTATAAGTTACACTTTATTAAATTCTGATCGGACATTTCTACCACCATATTAAAGAGCATATTAAATACTATCATGACACTCCGCCACAGCCTTCTGGACGAGCGCCATCGAGAGATTCTGGCACGCGACCGCGATGTGGTGCCTGAGATCAGCGAGATAGTCGATTTCTCCGCCACCGTAGACCACCCGTAAGCCGACCAATCTGAAACCTCCGCCAAAACGCGGGTAGATATTAGACAGGGGATCAGGTCCACGGTGACCTCACCTCCATGGATGATTCATCTTCTTTACGGTACTGCACGCCAGCCCCCGTCCAATTCAAGTAGGCGAGAGAGGTTTCTCGCACGCCCTTCGATATACCATGCTGGAATGCACCCAATATGCTAGTATCGCAGTCAAGAGTTTGTAAAGAAGAGTAGCGGAACACCGGGCATGATTATGAGGAATATTTCTTCACGAGTTTGCCTTAATGAAAAAAAAAATAAGCCGTGCGCGCGTCACCTCTTATGTCCGGGTCGGCACGATACGAAAATATTGGTCTTCCATTCCAAGTACGTCCGTCATACCATCAATACGCCGCGCCTTGACGACTGTGGTGAGAATGATAGTCCTATGACGTCGGCGACCGTTGTGGAGGCTGCTTGATGATTAGAGGTCATCCAGATCAGAGTACTAGGTCTCGCAGGTAGCTATCCATGGTGACTGGCCTTAGCTTAGAAGTTTCGCGCGCACTGTTTGGAGGTGGCGTGAATTCCAAAGGTCTTCTCGCAGTCAGGCATGCCGACTCGGAGATGACTTACATTATTTTCGGTACGCGACGATGAAGATGATTGGGCCAGGGAGCCAGGTTCGTGCTTCGGTAGGAGGAACATCTTGGGTATCTCCGGGCCAGGTAGGCTCCGTGTAGTCCTTCGTTCCTTGGCTGTCTGAGGCAGCGAAAACTTTGCTGATAATGTGACCTGCGATCGAAGTGGACTTTTTTTGCCCCCCCCCCCCTGTTATACTGTGGCATATCGCTGGGATGGTTCGGGGACATAAGGCCGCAAACCTTAGGTTTTTCGTGCGCCTTATCCACGGCAAACGTGGCTTTGCTCAAAAGCAACTCTAGGGCTATAAGAAGGGCTTCATTCATGCAGGTGATAACGAGGATGGTGAACAAGATGATAGGTAATGCTGGAATCGAAGGCAGGTCACGATCGAGGAAGCGCATAAGTTTGCGACCGAGTATGCGGCAAGAGAATCGTAATTCTCTGCGCCTGAGGGCGTCGCGCCCGCTAATGACGACGATTTTAGGTGGTATTGGTCGAGAACAGACACATGACCAAAATAGACATAAGTGTCTACCATGTCCTTGTCTACATAAAATCCGATGCTCCAATCGAAAGGGTAGCGCAAATTAAAGAAACGTCGCGCCCTATTGCCGCGCGCGACGAAGTGGCAATTTGCGATTCTCCTACCTCTCTCCCGTTAGCGACCCATCCCCCGTGGTCGTGGTGGCATGGTCATAAGGAGGCAGTTTTGCCTCCTTATAACCATGCCTGCCACTTTCCTACGACAATGTGCATTCAGGGTACGGCATCGTTGTGTAGAACACATAGGAGGGGTCTTACTTTTCCGCTGAGGAGGGAGGGGGGTCGTATTTGGTCGTTGTTGGGAGAGGGAGGTCGTATGTGGCTTTGAGAGAAATTTGCTGCGTTGGGAAAAAATTTTCCCGGTTGACTTTTCGCGTGATTTTTCCTGTTTCATGTGTACTATATACCCTCCCCCCAACCCGCTCGACAGCAAAATTTTTGGGTAAAAGTAGGAAAATTTTCGGGAATTTTGGAAAAGTGATAGGAAGTTGGGGAAAATCTGAGAAATGTACTTGTTTCACATTGGCTATATCTCCCCCCCCCCCTTCGACGGAAACTCTGGGTGAAAAATTAGAAAGTGTGGGAAATTGATAGGTAGGTGCTTGGGGAAGAGAGGTCGTACCGAAACCCTCTCCTAGGGTGGGGGGGGGGGGGTGGGAGGTCGTCTCTTCCTCGAGAAGGGGAGGTCATACTGACACCACCATCTCACACTCACAATGCTGTAGCCTGTGTGCATTTCAGCTCTTCGGCAGAAAAGCAAGGGTCAGCGTTCACGCTGCATCTTATCCTAGATATTAGCAAGATGGTAGGCAAACTCCATGTTCGACTGTCCATGAACCTTGGCATGGTGTGTGTTCTTGTCTTCAATGATTTCTTGAAGCCACAACCAAGGTGTTAAATCACTTTATTGGGCTTACGTTTCGGCTAGTCGCCTTCGTCTGGAAGTTGAAGATCAGTGATTCAATCCTCATAAATCATTTCAAACTTAGAAATAGTTCGTAGATCAGCGCATCTAGGAAGGTATCGCAAATCCGAAACACAAGAACTCACCTTAGACCATACGGTAGGTTTTGTAGAGGACCACCGCTAAACTGACTGACTGTGTGTGGCTTCAGATGACCCAGCCCCTCGACCTGAAGCCGATGGCGATTGAAGCCCACACAGGTCAACGAACGGGGCGAGCTCGTTTGTAATGGCGAGGCACTCGTCTTTCTTGTTCATTTTTGGACCTTTAGCGCGTATCCAAAAGGCCTCCAAAGTTTTGCGTGCTGAGGTCTGGGGCTCTCGCATCAAGAATCCTTACAGTCACCTCAAACTCCGCACCTCCATGGCACTGCCTCCTGTGAGCTCCCAGGAGGCAGTGCAATGACGGAGCTAGGTCTTGACTTCTTCAAGCCATCCAAGTGTTCCCTGATCCTGGAACAAAGTGGTCGTCCGGTTTCCCCAATGTACTCATCCCCACATAGCGCACATGATATCAGGTAGATCACGCCTGATCTCATGCAATCACCCAATCGCCCATGAGGACAAATGACACAATCCGGGGTAATACAGTATTGATCGTACCCGCGGTTGCGAATCAGCTGTTTCCTAAGGTTCGCAGGGGGATCTCGACTACACGGACTAGACCGTCGAGACCACACCTACGCAGGGTCGTTCTTACGGTGCAGCTGATCGCGTCGCTCACAAAAGGCAAACAAAATGGCACCTTCCCAGACTGCTCGACTTCCGATCCCTCTTGCCTCCTACTAGGTGGTCCAGAAAGGCATTTCAGCCCTTGGGGGGTACCCGTTGGAAAGGGAAATGTTCTGGGCGAGCTCCAAGGACTCCGCTTTTCTCCTGACTGCCTGAAGAAACTGTATTAGCCGTCCTGAACATGTTGTTGTTGATAGCCTCGTTTTGTTTTGAGGGGATGCGCCGACCGGAAATGGACCAGGATGTTTTTGTTGCTGGGCTTTACGGTACCATTTGGTCCGATAGAACCCTCGTATCAACTGGACCTGCACGTTGAGAAAAGGAAGCCAATCGTCTTGTGGCTTCTCTCTTGTGAAGTGGATGTTCTCAGCTTGGTTGTTCAGCAGGTCAAAACATGCGTCCATTTCCTTCGCGTTTCTTCGCGTCCTTCCCGTTTTGTTCCGAACTTTATTGAGAAGAAACGGCTGCACGAGGTTCT